AAATTTAATAATAATTTTAAAAAATACAATTAAAAAAAAAGAGGTCATTAGAGCTCAGTCATTGGAAGTCAGAAAATCACACACACACACACACACACACACACACACACACACACACGTGCATTTAAAAGAGAATTGTGAAGAACAAACAAACAAAACACCCTAATGGGTCCTTGAGCCTCTCACCATGGGTGGAAGCCTACTGGAGGGTGCGGTTTTGGACTCTATAATGAGGTGATGGGTCTGTGAGTTGGCCTGAGGCCTGGGGCCTTGCAGTCTCCCTCCACTCCAGGAATTGGTTGCTAGCAGGAATCTTGGTGGCGGGCTTGTCTTGATGGTGTTCACTTAAGGGAAATCTCTGGTGTCATGTTTAATGTTTGTTACAGCTCTTCCCCTGCGCCCCACACCCTCAAAGCGGGTGGGTCTTGAGCCTTTCATGGGCCGAGGCCTGCTGGAGGCTGTGGCTTTAAAAATCCCTCGGGTCAAATTTATTAAATTTAGAATAGATATTCTTCTTTAAAGACACAGCAATCATTTGTCTATTTACTATACTGAACACCTAGGAGTTGCTGTGACATTGAACACTGTTCCATGCTTGTGTTAAATGCTCTAATGGTGGGGGAGCTCTGATGGTCTAGTGGCAAGAAGCTGCACTGCAATCCCAGAGATATGCGGTTCGAATCCCCCAGATGCTCTGCCGGAGAAGGAGGGGCAATCTCCTCCTGTACCAGTCAGATCCGATTTGACAGAACACACACAAAATAATAAAAAAATAAAAATTAAAAAAATGTTCTAATGGTTATCCATTATGTACAATGTTTGGATGAACTTCCAGATTGATTTATGCTGGGAAGCAGGAGTGACATCCACTTCCTACACTGGAAACTGCCTCTGGAAACTTTACAAACTCTCTAAATTCTATAAATTATGTACAGAAATTATGGCAGTTATAGAACAGAGTTCAGGGGTTTTGTGCAAAGCTTACTCTGAGTCGTATTCAACTTGACAACACTTAACCACTGCTAAATGAGACTAGTGCTGTTATATCTAGAGGAACACTCTTCCACTTTGCACATCACTCTTTGTCAATGTGCTGTATGACGTAACCTGGGTTTGCTATGATGCTGAACCTTGTGCCATGGGGATCTCAAATACCATAACGGTTTCCCAATGTGGACAGTGTTTGGTGGAGCTCCCAGT